CCAACCAAACAACCAACCGGTCACTATGACATGCACTGACCACCAGGGGGTGTGCGGAACATGGCAGGTGTTGGCAGCAGACAGCAGAGCATGGAATATGGTGGGTGTTGGCTGTGGTGAAATGGTGGAGCAGGTGAGCAGGGGCACCAGACCAAGGCAGGGCCTGCCAGTCACTGCTATCAGAGTGAGGCTCTGGTGGTTACTGAAAGTTCTTTGCTCCCACATCCTACAGTCGCCCAGTGCTCATACCCACTGCCAATGCTGGCGCTGGCCCCAAATGATCAACACCATCAGCGGGTGTGGGTAGTGGCTGCTGGCTCCCATTGCCCCTGAGGGCTTCTCCACCTCCCTCTGCTGCTGAGAGGCAATCAGGGCAGCAGCCGCTGCTCACACCTGCTGACAGCGCTGGCCCCGCTCATACCCACTGCTGGTGCTGGCCCCCATTGCTCCGTGCTGTCAGCGGGTGCAAGTAGGGCTGCCAGGAGAGAGGGAACCGGGGGCTGTAGCAAGAGGGGCCAGGCATGGGCCAAGACTTACCCGTGCCCACCACAGCCTCACGGCCCAGTTCCTATCAAGGTGCACAAATTTGTGAAATGAGACTCTAGTAATTAACATAAAATTCAAAATAGTGGTTATAGCTGGTGTGGGTAGAGGAAGGCATGTGACCAGGGCCTGATCTTTATTGTGATAGAGTTTCAAGGCATGTTAGGGATCAGTGTGGTCAGGACCAGTGCAGCAATAGTTGTAGACTTGTTTGGCATGCATGGGGCTAAATGGAGCAACGCAGCAGCTAGCACTGTTGGGAGGCTGACTCATAAAGGAAGAGTAAGCAAATACTTTATCTAAGATTATGGGGGCCAGGTTTCTCACTATGACAGAAAAGAGATACAAATATGTAGAGACTAAACCCTGAAGTAGTAACCTAGAAATGAAGGTATTAATGTAAATTCAACATTTTCCATATATTTTTATGTACAGAAACACGCATGTCTTATGTGTGTATATGCACATGTATTGCTTTGATCTATCCACCAGTAAGGCTTAAAACCAATGACTTTCCGGTAACAGTGAGCACTTTTCAGCTCATTTTCAATGAATGGGCTCCTTCGAAAAATGACTGGGGCAGGAAAAAGTACAAGATAAGCCTGGGAAACCTTCATGTGTCAAAAAATAAGGAAAAGGTCAGAAAGTAAAAAACAAAAACCAAAAAAAACATAGAAGTGAGCTTGAAGAGATTCCCATACACCAAACCTGGCAAAAGTATAAAAATAAATGACAGTAATATATTGTAGCTTACAGAATATAGTAGGAATTCATGAGTCCATACTCCTAAATGAATAAACAAAAAGACAAATGGAAAAAGGACCACTCGTACAATAGATTATCAATCAAAGCATAAGAAATCATTTGGCAATCAGAAAAGTAATAACTGATTCAAGCAAGAAGGGTTAATGGACTCTTAACTGGTGACAATTTGTAAGAAACAAGAAGTTTACACACTCTATTCCTTAACTTTACAATAGAGAAACATGATAGATATCATCTAAACCAAAATCCAAGCTAGCATTATATCAAAATGGGACCATTTGATATTATGTAGCTCATGGCATGATACAGTGAAAAAAATAACATCATTTCCATCATATTCCTGACAAAAAATACGTATTCCAAATCTAATCATGAGGAAACATTAGCTAAACCCAAACTGAGGGAAGTTCTGTAAAATATTTGGCCTATACTCTTCAAAAGTGTCAAGGTCATGAAAGAAAAGACTGTTCCAGATCGACCAGTGCAGTAATAGGAGACACGAGAGGACAGCTAGCTGCACCATATGGTCCTGGACTGGGATGCTGGAGAGAAACATTGGGACAATCAGCAAATCTGAATGTGGTCTGTGGATTAGATCTTATATGCCAATATTAATCTTCTGACTTTAATGGTCATACTATGATATGGTTATGCAGGAATATCCTTGTTTTGAGGAAATATTACTAAAGTATTTTTTAGTAATGTCTGCAGCTTACTTCCAAATGGCTCAAAAATTATATTGGACGGGACTACACTGAAATCCATAAATAAATGTAAGATAAATGAACATCTTCAGTGTTGAGTCTTCCAACCCATGTAAATCACAAAGCATTTAAGATGTCCTAAACTGCCTCTTGATGTAGTCTAAAATTTTTTTCCATGAAGATATTGTATATATTTTGTTAGGCTTATTTTTAGATATTTCAAATTTTTGATTTTAAGAGACCTAAAAACTTTCATCTTCTGTTAGTTGGTGATATAGACATATAAACTGACTTCTGCATAGTTATTGTGAATGTAGCAACTCTGCTAAACTGTAGGTGACTATAATCACAGATACTGAATTGTCTATATTTATAACACACCAAAATAATTTCCTGCCTCTGAGAAAAACCCAGAGAATTATGTTGACTATAATTTGTCATAAAATATACAATTCTTGCCATGTAAAGAGTTTTATACTTGTACAAATGTGTAACACAATGTTAGTTGGGAAAGTATGCCCATAGTGCCATCTTTAAATTAAATCACCCAAGGAAGTGAGGTATGATTCTATTTGATTCTGAGATCTCCAGGCAACAAGTCTCTCATTTCTGTATCAAAAGAAATAACATTGCCTAAGGTGCCCTCAAAGTAATTGTAAGTACTCATAAATTCGAATTAAGTTCTCAGCATGTAAAACAAGCCTCTCTGGGGAAGTTATTATCCACCCTTCACAAATGACTTCCTGGAAACTTGAACAATATGCTTTCCACAAAGCTTTTTGGTGGTCTGGCAGCTCAAAAGGGACTCCCCACTACTGCCCTTTCCTTGGCTCACATTCTTTCCATGTGCCATAAAACAGCTTCCTTGTGAATGATTGCCACATAACTGGGTATCAGGGCACAGTGCACATTGTGGATCTCTAGAAACAGCAACATCCTCTAAGGAGATACATGTTTAATACCAAACAAAACTAAAGAGCCATCTACAGATTAGCAGCGTAATCTGGACAAGATGCCAGAGTCCTAATGGCAAGAAAAACCCAAAGTGAAACTCTCACTTGTGAGGTTTAACAGTGAGGAGAAACAAGAGGCAACTTGATTATATACTAACCCTTCCACTAGGTTGTCTTAATATAGTGAAAGAAAAACGAAGCAGCTTAATAGTATTTTCTAAGTTTCAGTATGTGATGATGAGAAAGTTCTGGAGATGGATAGTGATCATGGTTACAGAACAATGTGAATGTACTCAATGCCACCAAAAGGTGAATTTCCTATTGCTAAACACTGCCTAATATTATTACTTAGTGATTACACAGCCATTAAGAGCACTGACCATCGGAATCTGACAGCCCTGTGTTTGAGACTTGAACCCAACTGTTATACCTGTGGCCCCTGGAGTACACCATGGAGCCTCAGTTTCCTTGTCTATACCACAGGAATGATAAAACACTTTCTACCCATTATAGGCTGCTTTGAACTTGAAATAATTTATGTAGAAACTTCGCAGAGTTCATGGCCTAGAGATGGCTCAGTAACTCTTGACTCTGTCTTTTAGGGTTTTCATAGCCATAAATTATTTTGTATTTTATACAATGAGGACTAAAAACAAGGCCCCAGCACAAAGGATTTGTTATATAAAACTATGTAACAACTTCCCATAAAATGCATTCCATGTTGTAATGAGTTGGGATGTATGAACCCAAGTGTTGATCAGTAAGCCAATGGTTAATAAACCTTAAAAGTTTCACCCCCTAAGAGGCAACAATTTCAGAGAAGTCACAAGAACTTGAAATAATTTAACAGATTAATATATATGTATTTTTATCATGTACAATATGGTCATACAAAAAAGCATATACTACAAATTGAATTCACACATACAAAAAGAGGCTATTTTATTTTTTTGTCCCTTTTATATCCTATTTTAGGCAAAATGTTGAAACCCAGAAAATAACAGAACTGCACTAGTTCTAAAAACTTGGAATTTTATATATGAAATATATCCAATTGTCTACACCTCCTCTCAAATTCCAAACAATAAGGCTTACTGAAATATACTTAGAATCAACTTAAATAAATCTTTGCACGATTCAGATGAAACATACATTGTCAATGTTATAAGTCCAGGTAGAAAAAGTACATAAAATTATTCATAAGTAAAAACATTTCATACAAAAGAAATGTTTGTTTGTGTTTTTAAACCCAGACAATATCAAGAGGAAATGTATTAAATTTTAAAACATGTTTTGGACCATTATATAATATACCGAAAGGTTCAGAGTGTTGAACAACAAAATTTTATGCGGAACAAAGCCAAAAGGTAAAAAACTATTAAGTGTATTAAAACCATCTAAAGCCAAATAAGACATCACTGCACTATATAATTTAGAAACTGGTTTAAGTGCATTTTTTCTGTATAATTCAACCACCACTTGTAAATATGGCAATTAATTGAAATGCAATTTTATGCAGATTTGCAAGCCTTTTGGCCATTACATAAATATTAAAAAATTAAGTAAATTGCCAATTGAAAAATAAAAGGTCGCATACATAACATAAAAGCACAATGGTCAAAGATGCACTATAAAATTGTGTTTAAAAAAACAATCATACTAAACAAAGCTTTCAGGCACTTGCATTCAGAAACATTTTCTTTTATAAATAAGCACATAGTTTCATTTCAAAAAAATAAAGCTGATTCTTCCCAATTGCAGCTATTAGTTGGGAACTATATCATATATTAGGGATGCATTTAAATGGACCATTTTATGGGGAAAATCAACTACACTAAAAAATACAGATAATTCCAGTGAGACACAGAGGTGGCCCTATCAAAACATTCTACCATTCGATACAACCAACACAGGATAACATAATACAATGACAAAAAGCAAAATCCACAATTTGGCAATCCTATACACAAGGGGCCCTGTCAAAAAATTTTCACAAAACAAACACAATACCACAAAACAATTAAAAAAGACAATGCTACACAAACTGTGGGGTTTCATCTTCAAGGTCTTCAAATTGTTGCATTCGTTTAAGCCTTGGCCTCTGACATGTTGGGTGCACATCGGGCAGGTCATGCTCCTGAGAGTTCTCTTTAGGCTTACTTGTCGTCAGCTGCATGGGACAAGCTGGTGTGTTTTCTGAGTCTGGAACTGATTTCAGCATATGCGCCTGGGGAGCGCGGGCTATGCCAGGAGACACTGCTGGGGAGGAGGCTGCAGGTTTCTCCTCAACCCCTCTCACACTAGCAGTGGGAGCACGTGGTTTATAAAAGGTTGTCCAGTGCTGGGGCTGCAGTGTTCTGGGGGCTCTGACAAAAGTAGGAGGGCAGGAGTCAGAGATCTGTCTCTCTAACACGTGTCTTGCTGTTTCAGTGGATGGCTTACTAGGCTGGGTGGCATTGCCTGGATGGTCCCCACCAACCCTGATGCTCGTCATCACTCCTTCTTGGAGTGCATTGGGCACAATCATTGCAGTCTTTGCATTTAGATCTTTTTGTTCATACTGTTTCTCCCCAGATTTTTGTAGAGTTTGCTGGTGAAAGCCATCAAATTTGAAACAAGTGGGAGGGGTGTCTTTTCTATTAACTCCTTCAAAAGCGGAATTCTTGCAAAGCTTGTCTGAATTTACATTTCCCATATTTCTGCCGTTTCTCTCATGAGGAGGGCTTGCAAGAAGAAGCAGTCTTTCAACAGGCAAACTTACAGGTCTAAGTTTGGTCCTTGGAGTATACCTCTCAACAACACTGTTTGTTTCCCTATTGGACTTTAGAGAAAACGGCTTGGAGGTTTTACAAACATCTTCCATCTTTTGTGATGCTGATTCAAGCTCTTGGTCAACATGCAAACACACTTTGTTGTCTGAAAAGAAACAGATTTATTTAAAAATCAAACTTCCTGGCTCTTGGTTAACAAGAGGAACATGCTCTCAAAACAACAAAGGTCTTACATATTTTTCTGTTATTCTTAGTTATCTATGCAGAGGAGTTTAAAGGTGGATTCTGAATAAAAATGTTAGAATTTTGTATTTATCTAAATCAATATAATAAACAGCTACAAAATCCATTGTAGACTAGTAAAAAAAAAAAAATACCCCAAAATACTTGCTGAGGTACTGTTTTTATGCACCATGAGTTGATGAACAAGCAGTTGCTGGGTCAAAGAGTTGTCATGATTTCAATAAGCAGACATTGGTAAATTCACCTTAGAAAAGTTACACCAATGTACAGACCAGCCAAATACAGGTGTGCCCTTGAATACCAACACTTTGCCAACTCCCTAAATCTGCTTTTCAGTTACACTTAACCCACAGTGAGAGCACAGTATATGAAATGCTTTAGATGTCTTTTAATCTTATCAATTAATAAACGGACTTATAATATTAATCCTGTCCAATTAAGGTTCAATAGATTTAAGGGAAAAAATGTCATTCACTCCATTTACTGTATAATCCTAGACTTACTTTCTTCTCTTTCCTATCAAGTTGGGACCCATGGCCTATGTTTTCTCAAACTAGAACCCTGATTTCCTTTAAGCCCTTTTCCCTTATGCTGTATCTTCCCTAAAAAAAAATTCCATTTCTGGACAATTTCAGTCCTCTGCTCATACTCCTCTTTTGGGCAGCGGTCTGACAGGTGCCCATCAGAATCACTGTCAGCTGACACCTCATCTGACCTTCCTCCTTAGCTAGGACTGACAACCTCTCTTCCTTGGACTTCCAAGTAACACTCTGCTGTTCCCAGTCCCACGTTTACAGACCACTTTCAGGGACCTGACTTATTGTGGTGGTGCTGTAGATACCCATCCAAGTATATTCTTAAGTTCTGAAGGGAAAGCTCATAGTCTCATGGATAAGAGCACACACTCCAAACCCCAGTTGCTGGGTTTAGCTCAGCTCTACCACTTCTGCTCTGGGCAAGGCAATCTCACTGACCCTCAGTGTCAAGATACTCATAATTGCATTTATGCTGATGGATGACCTAAATGTCTAATCATGAAAAGTGCTTAGAATTTTCTGGTATACAATAAGTACTCACAAATTACATTTATTATTATAACTATTCTAATTGGGAGTCCTAGATCATGGGATAGTAAAATAAACACAAACATAGATTCAAATACGGACTGAAAATTTTATTAGGGACATAACCTTGGTATGATTTCACTTTTAAACTACGGTTGAGTGGAGCTAATGTACTTACTTTATAGCACTGTCATGAAAGTTAAATCAGATAAATGAAACCAAACAATAAACACAGTGCCTATCACAGAGAGGAAGGTACCCAATCAGGCTGTCAATGCTATCTGATTTACATCCAACTTAACATATATGGCTGAATTTTTAAAAATTGGAATTTAGCTCTAGAGATGTACAGAATTACAGTAATAAATGGAAGCCTTCCCACAAGCTTGATAGTTACCAATCACTGCAAATAAAATTATCCCACAGTGAATAAAATGACTGTAGTCCAGGAAATAAAAAGACATAAACATTTGTGTGCTTAATGTGCTAAAGGCAGGTGATAGATAATACATTTGAAAAAAAATTTAGGAGTTTTAAGAGTCTAGATTTTTAAAATTTTAGGAGTCTAGTTGACTCCTTAAGAGCAGAAAGATCAATTCAATGATCTTTAATAACAGAGATGCTAATGAGCTATCATACTATCAATACATTTTTTGCCATGACTGTAATTGATGGGAAAAAGTAATTCACAAAGAAAAAAAACAAACTAATTAAAAAAAAACCACCTATGAACTCCAAGGTATCTTTTTATAAGAAAGACTATTATGAAGAATGGTATTCATTTAAAAGTGAGCTACACTTACAACTTTCTTCATGGCTAGCAAGATCCATTAACTGAAGAAGCTTCATTCTCTGACTTCTCTCACCTTCACTTACCCTGACTTTTATTCATGGCTTATTGAAAATAGTTTTAAGTTAGTAAACATGTATTTTACATGGCCACTCACCAGTGAGACACACATCGCATTTTTCTAATGATTTCTGTTTTTGTTCTGATTCCTCAATTGATGCAGAGGTTTCTAGAATTTTGTTTTCACTATCTGCAGTATGGATGTCCTGTTGATAGAATATTTAAACTTGAAAAAGCAACACACACCTCACAATAAACAAACAGTTCAAAGATTTATAAATTAATATAAATACTTTAAAGTTCTAACAATTCCATAAAGGTCAAAACTCACTTCCTTTGAAGAGAAAAATAGTGACTTCATGAAATGTTCTGGGTCTCTTTCTTCTGGTGATAAGAGAGGCTTCAGAAGACAGCCTTGGTTCACTTGAGGTGCAACACCACCTGTACTACACACAACTACATCTTGTGGCTGTAGGGATCCATCAAAAATCTTCTGGGAATAAGCAATGAGGAACTCTACCAACCGTGCTTGATTTGAGTATTCAGCAAGAGAAGAGATGGTGATAGGAGCAGTTGTGGGCCTTGGCCTAATAAGACTTGGTCCAAAGATCAACCCCAAGTTTTTAGAGTTCATCTTGTTTTCTTCTGCATGATCTACAACCCTGTGGAATAGAACACATAAAACTGTGAAATTTGCAGATTAGACTTTCTCGATAGTAATTAACTATGGGTTTGAAAGGACGGAGAAAAAATAGGTTGTAGAAGTCTAAGAAAAAAATTATTTTATTAAATGTTGACCATTTACTAAGTTGAGTTTCATAGTATCAGGATAAAATTTAAGTAAGTAAAAGGAACTACTAGAGTTTTACTAGCAGAAATGAAAGAAACAAACAACAACAACAACAAAAAACAACCCTAAAAGCTGTAGGTCCTCAGGCTGAAAATGTAAACATCATGGTCAAATTTGCTCGCATTGTCCACTGCTAGTTTTCAAGCCTAGCTCATTCTACTTCCTAAAGATCTCTCTGCTCTACAGTCACTCCCACTGCTCTGGCCTTACTTCAAACTCTTATCACCTTCTTTCTCTGACTATTCAAGAAAATCTGAATTGCTGTAAAAGGCCTCCCATCCAAACCATTATCCATATTGTTTCCTGAAAGATCTAATAGGCTAATCTGAGCATATCAAATTCCTGGCTCAAAATTCTTTAGTGAGTACAGTAGGAAGACAGTCAACTCATCTGCTAGGTATGTAAGATTTTCTTTACCAGGCCTCTACCTAGCTCACTCCTGCTAGTGCTTATTATATGCTAACCTAATCAAATTGCTTATACTTCCCAAATGCATAATGATCTCATATGTCTCTGTGTTTGTTACCCTCTGCCAGAAATGCTCTTCTGCACATTCTCTGCCACCAAGTCACTATTTAGTTCCTCAAGTCTGGCTCAGGGCTTCCTTCTCTGATTCATGATCTACTCTCCACCATCTTCCTCTGCATGCTGTGCATAGCTCCACAACATAAATGATGCTGTACTGCACTTGTACGCCTCCCAAATTGACAAGCACAAAGGGTGGCAAAAACATTATGTTTTCATTCTTGATTTCCCAACCAGGGCCTGGCACATAGGAGGCATCTGAGCAAAATATGTTGGCTGTATGAATACATTCATTGTCTCCTGTGCTCTAACATATATTAGAAACGAAATGCTCATTTAAAAAATAATAGCACAGCCCTGGCAGGGTAGCTCAGTTGGTTAGAAAAGCATCACAATATGACACCAAGGTTGTGAGTTCAATTCCTTGTGAGGACATACTAGTATACAAGAATCAACCAATGAATGCATAAATAACTGTAATACCAATTAATGTTTTGTTTTTTGTTTTTCTCTCTCTTCTTTCTGTCTCTAAACTCAATAAATAAAAAGAAGACTAAATATAATAGCACAACAATGTGAATATACTTAATATATCTATTCACAACTGAATGCTCTTCTTATGCAAAGTTCTTACCGTTTAAGATGTACTATGAGGTAATGAAGACTATTAAAATTTGATACTGGCAACTGTCTTAGAAGGTCCTTGCTTTTTAGAAGAATTCGGTTGATTTCTATACATGTAGTTGGCCATTTTTTGTCCTCAAGGCTATCCTTTTTTGTCTCTTGTTCTTCATTTACATGTTGGATCTCTTTTGCAAGGTCTATAAATTCCTTGTACAATCGAAATAAAACAAATGGTTCTGGGAGCTAAAGAAATAAAATTATATTAGAAATACCATTCTGTCTCCATCCCCCTCCATTAATAATTTACTGATAGCTACTAAATGGTTTAACATGAATAAGGCTTAAGTTCTAAATGCTACAGATGCAATCTATAAAGTGAATATAACATAATCACCATAAATCATATCTTCATTTAAAATGAGTTAACTGATAATCAATAAAAGTCTAAATTTATACATTCATTACTGCCCCAAAGTTAGCATGCATGATCTTTAGCTGTTTTACTGAAACAAACCCAAGATGATACACAATGTAAGTCAAGTTAATTAGGAAAAGTTTATACTCTTGAGTTTTACTAGTATGGGGGAAACAGAGAACAAAATTCCATAAGGTCCTTGTGTTTCACTTATATCAGACTGAAGATCAGCATAAGATAATATGATTTATAAGAGAAAACATGTCAACATTTTATTTATCTAATTTTTAATTACAACTTGAATTATCAAAAGGTCAAAAGGAAAAATTCCTCTGTCATCAAAGGGTATGCCACCTCGATCTGTCCATGCCATAACTTACTTTGGTATTTCCACTGCTCAGTGATGGAAAATACTGTGTACTTCTACTTAGCTAATGTCCCATACTATCTGTGGTGAAGTGGGCACCTGCTTTTCCAGTTTCCCCTGCAGAGAGGGAATGCTTTGAGATCAATTCCTACCCCTAACAATGCAGGATCTAAAGGAAGTAACTTAACCTCTTTGAATTTCAGATTTTCTACATGGTATATGAGTAAAAGGTCGATTGCTCATACTATAGATTTCAGTATAGTTTCCCACACTAAAATGTTGGTCCCATAGTATTCTTGAGACAGAATGAGAGCTAATAGTATTGAACCCCATTAATTTCCTTTTCCTGACTGATTGGAAGAGATAAAACATGATTAACTGAGATTTACAGTCATTCAAAGGTAATATATTTTTATTTCTCAGCTGAGAATCTTTAATGTGATTATAGAGATATCAATAGTTTCCTGGGCTAACGTGACAGGTCCAACATTTGTACCTATTTTTTTAATTTTTTTTCCTGAAACCCCACTGAAATACAGTTAAGCCCACAGAACTGATAGAACACCAATGAATGGAGCCAAAAGCAACATTTTACAAGCTGAAGGGCAAATGAACAAGTGTTGACTTAGCAGACCTGAGAAAGTCGCAATTCCAAACTGAGATCCAACATGGTTTATAGCAGTGGTCGGCAAATGCGGCTCGGAAGCCACAGTTTGCCGCTCTGTTTGACTAATGAGTTTGCTGACCACTGGTTTACAGGATCCTAAGGAGACTGTTAGCATGAGGTGCTCTAATTCTGGAGGGTGGGCTAGCCAAGAAGCATTAGATCTTTAGATCCTGTCTCCATCCTATGTAAGAGCAACCTCTTCTCCAGAACTCTGAAATTCTTTCTCTGGGCAGTACTGTAAACTAAAGATTCTCTGGATGGGCAATGCCAACTGAAAGAAACAGATGAGCAACTATCTAAAAACTAGAGGCACGGTGCATGAAATGCTCTTGGGCGGGGGGGGGGGGGGGGAGGGGGAGAGACCCTCAGCCCGGCCTGCATCCCCTTGGGGGATGTCTGCCTGCCAGCTTAGGTCCAATCGCTGAGAAGAGGGCTGGCTGCTCCTTAGAGCTGCCTTGGAGACGGGAGAGGCTCCTGCCACCGCTGCTGTGCTTGGCAGCCATGAGCCCGGCTCCTGCATTGAGCATCTGCCCCCTGATGGTCAGTGTGTGTCATAGTGACCAGTCGTTCTGGTTGTTCCACCATAATGGTCGCTGGGCTTTTATATATAGATAGGAATTTAATAATTGTATGCATGCTGAATGCAGAGATCCTAGAGCCTTTTTATCCTACTTGGCTCCCAAAGCCTGGCACCACACCTCAGGCAGTAAAAGACCCTTCTCTGGGGTATCAGACCAGCCCAAGAATAAAGATCTAGAGATGCATATATCAGGTGTCTCCTGGGAAAACTCAAAATCTTCAAAGCCTTCATATATTTAAGAGCTTCCAAAAACATTTCAATTCCCACCTCTTTCATTTTAAGCAAACAACCATGGAAGACAAATCAAAATAGGCAAAAAAATTAAAAAAAAAAAAATCAAACCCTAAAACTTAAAGGTCTAAAACTGTACTTTTCTAAACCATATAAGAGTACTGAGCACTGCCAAAACCGGTTTGGCTCAATGAATAGAGCCTTGGCCTGCGGACTGAAAGGTCCCAGGTTCGATTCCGGTTAAGGGAATGTACCTTGGTTGCGGGCACATCCCCAGTAGGGAGTGTGCAAGAGGCAGCTGATGGATGATTCTCTCTCATTGATGTTTCTGACTCTCTATCCCTCTCCCTTCCTCTCTGTAAGAAATCAACAAAATATATTTAAAAAAAAAGAAAAAGAAAAAAAAAAAAGAATACTGAGCACTGGAAATGTAGCTGGTCCAAACTGACATGTGCTTTTAATGAAAAATACACACCAGATTTTAAAGACTCTAGCAACAACACACACAAAAAAAGTAAAATATTTCATTAACAATTTAAAAATATTGATTAGATACACAGATATGTTCAATGTTAAAAAAAATATTAAAATTAAGTTCGCATGTTTTTTCTTTTTATGTGGCTACTAGAAAATTTAATATTTTATATGGATCTACATTATATTTCTATTGGATAGGGCTAGAGGTTACACAGAGAAAAGCACTCTTTTTATTTACTTACTTATTTATTTATTAAGTTTTTATTTTTTAATTTTGAGAGAAACATTGACCATCGACTTGCTGTTCCACCCATCCACGCATTCATTGATTGATGCCTGCATAAGCTCTGACCAGAGATTGAACCTTCAACCCTGGCACATAAAGACAATGCTCCAACCAACTGAGCTACCCAGCCAAGGTAAGAATATTTTTTTTAAAAAGTTGTAAATATCCTGAGGTTGGTAAGATACTGCATTCATTTAAAAAGAAAAAAAAAAAATGTTAGAAAAAACAAAACCAAACAGAGAACCAGAGTTCTTAGAAATTAAAACATGACTTTAGAAATGAAATAGTTTACAGCAGGGGTGAATGAAAAGCTTAGGAAATATCTTAGAAAGTATTAAAAAATGAATAATAGAAAAAAGGAACTATAGAAGCAGTACATGTTGTCCAAATATAAGTTTCAGAAAGAAAACAGTGGAGAGAAGTGGGCAATAATATAAAACTTCCAAGACTTAAAAGACTAATAACCAGAATGATATACTTCACAGAGTGCCCGAAACCGGTGAAGTGCACCCACATCGAGGCATACCATTGTGACATTTTAGAATTGGGAGAAAAATAAAGCTCTTTAAGCTTTCAGAGAGAAGAAATAGGCCATACACACAAAGACTCAGTAATGAGAAGGATCTGAATCTCCATAGAAAACAAGAAAAATGCCTTCAAAATTCTGAAGAAAATAACTTCCAGCTTAGAATAAATATTATATCCTTTCACATCATCCACACTCTCCAATTCCCATCAAGAAAACAGAATAAAGACAGATAAATAAGGTTTCAAATATTTACTCTTATTGCTCAAGAGATAGGCATAACTAAAACAGAATAAATCAATACAAAGCACAGAAGAAAGGTGTTACCTCACAAAAGAGAAGAGGGCGGAGACGAAAAGTTTCAGGATGACAGACAGCAGAACTCTGAAGAAGGACATGTTCAGGACTGTGGTTACTATGCTCTGTAACTCTCTTGATTTTCACTACAGGACAGAGGGCAGCTGGGCTTGGCCTAGGTCATTTTAACACTTGGCTTCTCATGACAATGTGCTGATTGTTCGAGCAACCTCTCCATGAGCTGCTCCTTGAAGCCACAAAGCTCACTTATTTCACCCCACATAATTGTTTTCTTTGGACCTAATCCTGAAAACTGCAATGAGCACAGAAAGAGGAAATACAAAGTAGGCCACTCCTCAACCATCTTCCTGCTGAACTTCCAGAGAACCCAGCTTATAGGATAGTCCTACCTGACACCCCAAGTGTGGTGAACTTTTAGGATGCACTCATGATGGACCTCCTGCAACAGCTATTTTAAAACACTGTACCAATAAATGTAAAGCTGGACTATGACCCAGACACTGTTGTGAATTGACCCTTCTTACAACAATGTAATAGTCTTTCCTTTCACAGCTAGATTTATGCTTTCTGTTTAGTTTAACACAATTAGGAAAGACCACTGGGGTGGGGTTACAGACTGCGATGGAGAGGGGCACAAAGAACTCTTTTTAAAATATAGTAATGTTCTATTTCCTTAAGCTAGGTAATGGGAAATGAGTGTTTGTTTTTATTACTATTGGCCTGTAAACTGTACATACATTTTATATATAATTTAATCTATCTATTAAAAAAGATATTAATATAGTCTATATCAATGAACATATATGTATAGCAAATGTAATCAGCAAAATACAAATCATATTTTTGCTCTTTTCTAGTTAATGTTAGGTTTTAAGGATAGACTTTACCTGTCGAAGGTATAATTTCAAGACGTCACAGATGTCATGTGCACTAAATTCTGAAATGTCTACCAACTGCATTCCATTTTCCAAAGCCTGACACAGTTTTTCAGTTTTTATTTTGTTTCCACATACACGATAAATTCCCTTGAGAAGTAAGAGAAAATATTGCAAAATTCTGCTTTAGAACAAAGGCTAAATGTGAACATTTAAATCTTTGATGTGTCTACTTCAATTTTTATTAGTACTTCAGAAAAAAAAACTTGTGTTAAATAAGGTAATATTTTCCAAATAAATCTGAATAAAATCTGTTCTTATTGAAAATTGACACTTTTCCTTTAAAGTGTTCTTATCATTAGAATAAATCACACAGGCATTTGCTTAAAATTTTTCATTTTAAGAATTACAACATACCTGTAGACACAAGGCTCTACTTTCAATCTCTGAGGCACACACTTTGAGTACAAAAGGGATGCCATCTGGTTCCTTTTTTGCCACTTGTGTGAATTCTGCTCCAAATAAGTGTATTTTCCCCATAAGTTTTTGATGACCACAAATGATGACTAAATTTTCCAAACACTTTCGGTGACAGACAAGGAGACACTAAAAAAATAATTTAAAACTAGTTAATTTAGCTTAAAACTATTTATAACTGGACAAGCTAAAGGCAGAGCAGTAACAAAACAAAAATGAGTTTAAAAAGTATTACTTATGGTGTTTGAAATACATTCAATAGCAAAATGAAATATAAAATTGTAGAACGTACACTGTGGTTCAATTTATTTGCAAAAGTTCCTAATCAGTAAAATTAATTTTTAAAAGTATAAAACAAAAAGTATTAAGGGGCTAATGTAATTTCAGAAAGATCTTACCTCTTCACATTCAACACCTTGGAATACTACAATGCTTTCACAATCCCTACATTTTGTGGGGGATCTCAACTTGCGAAACTTGTGAGTGAGAGCTGCCTTTGACATCAATGTTTTCTTATATATTCCAAGTGAATTGGGTCCTTGCAATAGAAACATAAAAATTGTAAGGTGACTTTTTCCATAAGAGAATATTTTGAAAAATTTGCAATCGCTCATATATTACAAAAACCTATTATTTTGTGTCTATAAAATAAAGGATCTAATTAAGAAATATCTTACAAGGCATACATTTATCAAACGTTTTAACAATGAGTAAAAATCACCACCAAACCAGTAAGATACTTCTAAAACAGTACAGCATAATGTTTGCAGAATAAGAAAGTTAACATTGTTAATAATATGCCCTTTATTAAGCTGGGAAGGGTTTTATTATATAGATGGCATTTACATAAGTTTTTTATTTATTTATAAAATGCCCTTTTTATAAAAACTTCAAAGAAAATTAGCTGTATGCGGTAACTGTGTTATATCTCCATTAAGAATAAAGCTATTCTTAAATCATCATAAAATTATAGCTAATACTAGCTAGTAATATATGAATATCCTGATAGAGGTAAAATGTTCTAAACTGTTTTAGGAAATGATGCCAAAACAGGTATCTGGAGGTTTCAAATATTTAAAATTAATTTATATGAGTCTAATTCAAGTCATTAAGGTAAAAAACTTTTTTTTTTTTAAGAGAGAAAAATACTTTTCTTTTATATCCTTCAACATCCACAACTTTCCTTGTCCTTGCTTACTTACTTATTTACTTTTTCTGCTTAACTCCTTGCTCTGTTTCTATTGAAGAGGCTTTTTCAGAATTTCTCATGCATGGCAACACTTTTAACAGTTAAAATCATTATATTAGGTTTATGAAAGATCAAATATCTAGCCTATGTTAGCACCGTGTTAATATATTTTAGATCGAGCAGTTTTGCTTTTTGTATTTGAAACATTTGATCAATATATTATCAACCCATCTTGTACATAATTTGTTTGGATATATTTAAGTCATTATAATGCCTTTTGTTTAATACATGGCAAAGTAATTCTTTACATTATAGTATTGTCCTAATATCATGAAGTGCTACTGATTCAATTGGTTTAGTGAGAGCTTGACTCAGTGATATTCAGAGTGTCAATACCAGCTTCTGAAGGGGAAGGTGGCTCTCTTTCATCTAGGTCATCTGCAGAAGACATGGTTCCACTGGATGGAGTTCGTGGAAGTTTTCGATGAAAGTCTCCTAGAAGAAATTATGAATACAATTACCTGACCATGTACTGTAGAATTTTACCAATGGGTAATGACAGCCTTTTTGTTGTTTAACTGGTTGCTTCTTGTATGTGCCCTGATAGGAAATCAAACCTGCAACCCTGGTTTATCAGGCCACGCTCTAACCAACTGAGCTACCTGGCCAACCCAAAATGACATCATCTTTTTAATAACACATTCATAATATTTATTAGCTACAATGTAAAAAATGTGCTTCCATTCTCAGACTTGGATACAGGGAATTCTGATACTCTTTCAAAAGAAATTTGAACTAAAGAAAATTGAACCAAAAACGACTTCTCCAGGTAGATGTAAAATTGAGGATCTCAATGTGACCTTAATTGCCAATTTCTGATAGTAAGTGCTAGACATTGTAAGTTCTACAAGACAGGGAGTACTTTCTCTTCATGTCATATCTAATTCCTGACAGACTAGCTAGCATAATAGCAGAGTTGATATTAAATGTTTATTGAGTTAAGTTATAAATAAATGTATACAAGGTAACCTAAAGTTTATAAAATACATAAAAATCTTTAAATTCAGCAATATAGTAGTAATATCATATTTATGTAAACAGTATAACAAGAGACTAGGAATCAGGAACAATGATTCCTGTCAGGGAACTGAGATTCCGAGATGCAAGTTTTGTTCACAAAGGACACAGTTATATGTATCAAAGCAGGTTCAGAAGCAGCCCAACTAGGCAATGACGTTTATTTTTATTTGCTCCCTGCTGATATTAAAACAGGATTATATTTAAGAATTCACATCCTTAACTATCTAAGGTAGAGTTAGAAAGAGCTTTATAAATGATTTAAAACAACAATATCTTCCCCAAAAGATACCTCTGCATAATATGCTTAAAAGGTAGTCACCTAGTTTTTGCTTTGAATGTGTCCCTAATGATTGAGAAATCATGAGGTAGCATATTCCATGGTCAGAACTATTCTAATTGTAAAATGGCTTTCTCATGTTATTGAGCAGAAATCTGTCTCACTATAAACCCTAGTCTTAGGCCACACTTCCCCCTAAAGGAGCAAGCAAACGCATTCTACACCTTTACGGTTCCAATGTTTAAGGATAGCTGCCATGTTCTCAGGTTTCCTTTTTCCCAGACTAGGCATACTCAGGTCTTCACCCATTTATGTTGTGACCAAGTTTCCATAATTTTGTCTAATTTACATGAAGTCTCATAGGATTCCAAATAATTTAGGGTTTTCTCTAAAACAGGTCTTAATTTCTGGGGATTGCTGAGGAACTACACTGTTTTTATAAAGCTAATTAAAAATATTCAGTTAAATACTTAGGCTTATATTTCCAGAGTATCCTCCTGAACAAAGCTAGTTTTAAAGGAAACAAAGCAAGCCTATAACTAACAAAGTGGCATGGAAATTATTTCTAACTTAAATTCAGACATTTATTTACATGAATAAAATTTCTATAATATTCAGAACACATCTCCTACAGTGCTAAGACCTAAAGGAAAATAGGTTGCCAGGAAGAACAGAATTGGAACAGTCTCTGGTAGAGGAGTAGAGAAGAAAAAAATGTCAAAGTAAAAATCTCCTGAGTTCAAGTGCTACCTTCTCCTGCTAGTTGTAGTAAAACCTATAGCATGTTATCCTCTTTAAAGCCATGATACCGTAGGAGCTATCAGACACTTTCTCTGCCTTTCTAAGGAGTATGAGATTATCAAAGTACTATAAAGTACATTTGTAAAAAATTAGTAAGAATAGCAATCACAGGCACAAGAATTAGTGTTAGTGTTCATTACAGCAATTAACTATAAAACAATAAAAAAGATAGGTAATAGTTATGTTCACAGAATAGAATACTATCCAAAGTAGAGTATAAATTAAAGACGGCTACTTACACCAATATGGACATTAAAAAAAAAGGACACATGGAAGAAGTAAAAAAAAGAATAGCATGATTCCATCTTAATATCCTTCTGAAGAGGGCAAGGAGCAATTAGATACACATACTAAAACATTTGATGTTTTATTCTGGTGGAATAGGGCAATGTTATCAAGGAGGTATACATAAGGACCTAATTTACTAATAATCTTCTATTTTATTATTTTTCTTTTAACTGTATACACACACACTCTTCTCTCTGAGATAATTCATTATAAAAATAAGTAGTTGTAAAGTATTTCTCAAAAGGAATATTTTAACCTTTCATTGAATTTTCACTGCCAGAGTTAAATACTTATATACCTGGACTTATAGATTCTGAATCCAAAGATCTAGACTCACTGCTTCCTCCAGTGCTCTCCGAGTCACTGAACATCCCAAATGTCCATGACCTTATAATAGAAGTACCTTTAAGAAAAGAATGCTTAAAGTTAAACTTGGCTACAGATAGTTCATAAGACAAAAATACTGACATATAAAATGAGACAAATAAAGTTTCTTTAACCATAATCAATAATCAATTTTAAGACAGGCACAGGGTTAAAAAAAAAAAACCTGTGAATAAGGCTTCATAAAGTTACAATTCAAGGCCTGATTTTTAAATTCTAGGGCTGCAACCCATTTAATAATCACATTTAAACAATTTAATCTTTCATAAAATTAGTGCATTCTTTAATGTGAATATCTATCTACCTGTGATATCAACACTGTTGGAGCATCTGTCCTCGTCAATCTTATTAGAACTGTCAGGAAGGCGAACTACATCCTCTAAAGAGTCAGCAGGTCCATATCCAGAAGTGTGGGAACTATTTGTTAATTGCTTAGTTATATTCCTAAGAAAAACCCCAAAAAAATTCATTACTGAAGATGACTAATAAGCCTATTTTATTGTTTTCAAAAAATGTTATTTTAATGTATGTAGAATTAATTTAACTAAATGTTAAGAACAAACCATATTATATGGTTCAACTTCCTAAAGAAGGTATGAATAAAACTTAATCATTTATACTTATTATAGCTGAAATATAGCAAAGAGTAGCAAAAGAAAAGTCAATTCATATCATGATTCAACTTTTTAGTATAATCTCTGTGGAAAATGTAGAATGCATATTAAACATTCAAAATAGGTATAACAATGACTTGCCATTCTTAAAAGATTCCTATATCTCAAAAATCTGAGTTCTGGGCCATATAGAAAGCTTTTTTTATTCTTGAGTTACAATTTAAATAATATTTAAAAATTCAGAAAAAAAGTAAAGTTAATTCTGCCAATATTACAGAAGAAACCACTTTATACCAGAATAGGAACTTAGCAATAAATATTTTATCTCTTGAAAAAAAATTAGCTGTACTTCACACTTACCCATCAACTTTTTCTTCTTCAGTTGAATTCGTGGTCCTGACAAACTCACTATACCCTTGGCCTGGGTCATAGAGTTTGGCATTATCACAGAGAGACTGTAAATTGTTTGCGAGGGAGGCAACCTGTAGTTGTTGCATCTGGAAGAGGTTAACTGTTACCTATGATCACAGATAAAGACAAAAGTCAAAATAACACGATATACAGAATGCTATGTAAATACACATTTACTTCAAGTGACACCACCAAGAAAAAGGAATAAAGTGAAGCAAACAACACTGAATATCATATGAGCATACTATGTTGCCTGACTCTGTGCAAGGTCTAGATTCAGAAAATAAAAGTTTTAATTCAATATCTAGGAGCAATCATTTCCAGCAAAACTGGCTTAAACCGAAAAGTTCAAAAACACAACTCCATGTCCCTTCTAGTTCACAGTTTTGGGAGATAAATGTATTTTTGGGGGATCCTCAACTCTGTACTTGAATGATCTGTCCACAATTGTTTTAACTGTTACATGAAAAATGTGGGAGGGAAATTTTAATCAGAGCACTATTATTTTGACATTCATTCTTCAATCCTATAAAAATAGAAATGCTTTATATGTATAATGTGTCCTATAATACACAATTTTCATAGTTAGGTATTATTTTGAATGTATTCTATTCAAAATATATTATTCCACTGAGTTTTTACAAATGTGTAAATATCATTACTAATACTTAATGTAACAACAATATAACTGACAGAGCTTCTAATATGCCATTCTGAGAACTTTACTAATTTAATGCATGAATTAACTAATTTGATGCTCACAAAAACCTAGGCTTTGGGTATATTATAGCAAACAGATGAAACCCCAGTCCTCATAGAGTTTAAGTTCTCCTCAGACTGGTGTCAAACAGAGAGAGAGCAAATTAAGTAAATAACATAATTTCTGGTAGTGAAAACTGCTAATAATAATTTATAAGACTGTCAAGTTATGGAATATGACCAGATACATGTTTATGGAAGAGTACTTTTGACATGGTAGGTTAGTACTGGACTTTCTGAGGACATAGCATTTGAACTGAGACCTGACATAAGAAAGAATGAACAAAGAGATTCAGGGAGAAAAACCAATCCAGACAAAAGACCCTAGGGCAAGAATTAGTGAGAAAGAGCATGTTGTACTCAACAAACAGATGAAAGTTCAATATGACTGAAGCAGATAGAAAAGGTGGGAGAAAAAAGGGGCAGTCATCTAAACCAAATTAAAGAGCCCGGATAGATGTTGGGAGGGTTGGGGAGTGGTGAAGGGATTGAGCAAAAAAGAAAAAAAGAGACAAAAACTCAGTGTGCTAACTGCTGGGAGATGAGTGGAAGGAGGTGGAGGAGGGTATATGGTGGATAAATAGTGAGAGGAGACTGGACTTGGGGTGGTGAACACACAATACAATGTATAAATGCTGTGTTGTGGAATTATACTCCTGAAACCTAGATAATTTTATTAACCAGTGTCACCCCAATAAGTTAAATAAAAAGGAAACAGCCCAAGTGCCTATCAGTAGATAAGTGGATAAAAAAGCTGTGGTACATTTACACGATGGAATACTATGCAGCTATAAAAAAGGGTCTCCTACCCTTTGAGACAGCCTGTGGGCACCTGGAGTGTATTATGCTAAATAAAATAAGCCAGTCAAAGAAAGACAAGTATTATATGATCTCACTTATATATAGAATCTAATGAACAAAATAAACAGATGAACAAAATAGGTCCAGAGGCATCAAAGCATGGCACAGACTGAAGATCTCAAAGGGATAAAGGGGATGGGCAGAGATTAATCAAAGAACTTATATGCACACTAGAGGCCTGGTGCAAGAAATTCGTGCATGGGGAGGTATCCCTTAGCCTGGCCTGCACCCTCTCCAATCCAGGACCTCGCTCACAATCTGGGACCCCTGGATCCTAAATGCTCACCTGCCTGCCTGCCTGCCTGATCATCCTTAACCCCTCTACCTGCTGGCCTGATCACCCCTAACCACCTCTGCCTGCCTGCCTGATCACCCCTAACCGCTCTTCCCTGCTGGCCTGATCAACCTTAATCACCTCTGCCTTGGCCCCCACTACCGTGGCTTTGTCCAGAAGGATGTCTGGAAGACATCTGGTTTATCCGGTCTAATTAGCATATTACCCTTTTATTAGTACAGATACCCTTAACCCATGGATACAGACAATAGGGTGGTAAAGGCCTGGTGTGGAGGGAGTCATTAAGGGGGAAATGAGGGGCATTTGTAATACTCTCAATAATAAACTTTTTTTTTTTTTTTTTTTTTTTTTTTTTTTTTAAAGGGGGGAAAAAAGAGAAGGCACTCTGTCTCCTGTGTGGGGAATGTGAATGAATGCCAAATTTCCATTGGCTTAATGTTATTTCAAAGACTGTCATGTTTCCTCTTCATGCTCTGGATATACCAAATGATATGTTGAACTTATGATTAGCCTCTAAGTCTTTTCCAAGGTAGACAGGCATTCCTCAAAAATAACTAAAATTCATCACAAATAGCATTTGAAAAGTGCACCTAACAGAACAGCTTATTAATGCCCTAAGTTTTTCAAAGAACAAAGGAACTTAAAAGTACAAATGGTAAAGTTTAAGTTCAGCAACTAGCTATGATCAGGAAATTCTCCATTTAATGGTAAACTGGACTTACTTTCTTCATCTTTAAAGTAACTATATGTTACTTTTTAAAATACTTTTAATAAATTTTATGAATCTAGTTAAAAACACCAATATTTGAAAAGCCAAATGAATAGACTGGTATAGCCAATTCACCTGCTGAATGTCTCTGAAAAACTATATATGTAAAACCCTAATAACCAAATAGACCAAACGGTGAAACAACTGAACCAGTCACTATGATGTGTGCTGACCACTGAGGGGGATGGGGATGCAGAACATGGTGGGCATCGGCAGCAGGTGGCAGAGTGCAGCACATGATGGGTATTGGCCACGGTGGGATGGCAGAGCAGATGAGTGGGGGCGCCAGACCAAGGTAGGGCACTGGTCACTATCATCAAGGTGAGCCTCTGGTGGTCACTGAAAGTTCTTTGCCCCCACGCGCCACGGTCCTGCCGGGCACTCACACCTGCTGTCGGCACCCGGCACTGGCCCCAATCTCCCTTCAGGGCTTCTCCACTTCCTCCTGAGGGGTGATCAGGGCAGTAGCACCACTTGCACCCACTGATGATGCTGGCCCTGCTGGCACCCACTGCTGGCTTTGGCCCCAATCGCTCCATGCTGTCAGCAGGTGTGAGTGGGGCTGGCACCATCAGTGCAGGGGAGCTGCGACAGCTTGTGGGAGTGGGGCTGCTGGCAGACAGGGGACAATGGGGGGGGGCGCACAGTGTGAGGGGCCACGTGAGGGTGCAGAGGATGGACTGAGACACCCCCCCCTGCCCACCTGGCCACCGCAGCCTTGCAGCCCACAGTATCTTTCAACTGCACAAAATCGTGCAATGGCATCGGCAGGTAAGCAGGGATGCCAGACAAAGATGGGTGCCAGTTGTTGTCATTGGAGTGAGCCTCTGGTGGTTAATTCTTTGCTTCTATGAGCCACGGTCGCACCCAGCACTTGTACCTGCTGTCAGTGCTGGCCCACTTGCACCCACTGCTGGAGCCTGGTACTGGTGGTGATCACTTGGCTCTGTCAGCAGGTGTGAATGGTGGCTGCCAGCCCTGATAGCCCCTGAGGGCTTCTCTACCTCCCTCTTGCTCCTGAGGTATGATTAGTGCAGCAGCCACCACTCACACCTGCTGACGGTGCCAACCTTACTCACACCCTCTGCTGGTGCCAACCCCAATTACCCCACGCTGTCAGTGTGTGGGAGCAATGGTGGCTGGAGAAGGGTTGCCGGCAGAGAGGAAACCAGGGGCTGCAGTGGGAGGGGCTGGGCAGGGGTGTGAAGGATGGGCCAAGACCCACCTCTGTATCCACCACAGCCTCTCATCCACAGTTCCTTTCAAGGTGCACAAATTCATTCACTAGGCCCCTAGTCTATGCTAATAAAAGGGTAACATGCTAATTAGACCAGACACCTTCTGGACAAAGCTACGGTGGCGGGACTGAGGCAGAGGCAGTTAGAGGCAGCCAGGCTGGCTGGGGAGAGCAGTTAGGGTGATCAGGCTGGCAGGGAAGAGCAGTTAGGGCGATCAGGCTGGCAGGGGAGAGCCCTTAGGGAGATTAGGCCTGCAGGAGAGAGCAGTTAGGGGGATCAGGCGGGCAGGCAAAAGTAGTTAGGGGCAATCAGGCAGACAGGCAGGTGAGCCGTTAGTAGCCAGTGGTCCCAGATTTCGAGAGGGATGTCCAACTGCTGGTTTAAGCCTGATTTCTGTGGGAATGGGCCTAAACCAGCAGTTGAACATCCTCTGATGGGGAGAGGGTGCAGGACAGCCTGAGGGATGCCACCCCCTCCCTCGCACCCTGTGCAGGAATTTTGTGCACAAGGCCTCTAGTTAATAATAAAAGACATAAGCAATAATATACTATACAGGTAGCTCAATCTTAAAATACCTTTCCCCTAAATTATTCAGCCTTCTTCCACACTTAACAGAAATGCTTAAGTGAGGTCCTCCAGGACTGAAGTGGCCTACAAGTATCTAAAAAAAACAATCATGCCCCTTTACACCCTTTTGTCTCACAATGTGTTTTCTGAGTCAGGGATTCAGTCCCTTTTTTCTAGGTGCCCAATGGTTAATAGTGTTCACATTTGGGGAAATGACCAAATAAAGAGTAAATAGGAAGTGTTAGTGGTCAAGGTCATATTTTAATTTTGTATGTTTTCTGGTGTTGCTCACTCAAGCACACAGGATTTCTAATTCTATGTCCAGCTTTTGTCATCTACATCTAATTTTTATTACTCCATGGGCACAAAAATTAGTGTAAATTTTTCGACAGCTGATTAACTACAATTATCCATAATTTCAAATCAATGGGAAAAATTTCTCCAACTTAAATGAGCAATAATATAAAAATTAATTTTTGTTCAATAGAATTTTATTTTAAATGAGTTTTCTTGAACGTTCTAAAGAAAGAAAAAACCCCAAAACATTCTTGTTCTAATTTTTCCCATTTTTAAAAGGCCAATGATTTGATTAGGTCTTTAGTGACTGTCTTGCTCATT